GAGGAAACATGGCGTGCAGCTAAGTGAGGAATGTCTTGATTATAGTTTGTCTTACATGCTCTCACAGAATCTGGCGAGAGTGCTGGGCTTCTCTTGGTTGCGTCGTTGTCTGAACCAGCGCTGGATGGTCCGCACATCCCAGTCGAGCTGCTTGGAGAGACCCTCCAGCCTCTTCTCATCTGGGTGCTGTCAAGAAAATATAAACACTCCATAGGTTAGATGTAGTTGAGTTATTAAGCTATAACTGAATGATAATTAGAAAAAAATTAAAACATGGACAACCTTGGTTATAGCAGTGAAGACCTTTTCCAGGATGGCATTGGGTTGTGCTTTTTGCGGCCCGTTAGTCTGGATCTTCAGGCCCATGGCACATGGTCTGGCAATAAACCTGCAAAAAACAGATCATGACACCATTTACATATTAAAGGACTCAGTCTCTTTTCTTTTATTCTTTAAATTAAGGACACTGGAGCAGTCAGTAATGCATACTCTTTCTCTGCAGGTGCTGAATAACAGTGTACTGTAAAGATCTTTTGACCACAAATGGTTTAACACAGAGGGGAAAAACACCTATGTGTTGAACTGCTGAAGTGTAGTATCCACGTAGTATTGATGAAGAAACAGTAAATGACGCCACAGTGTGACTTGTTTGTCAAGATGTGGTGAGAAAGTACACAAGAGTTGACAGTCAGCTGCTAAAGTTAACACGTGGCTGTCTACATGAGCAAAAATAATAATACTGATATTAGAAACTCCCCTTACACAGACATATATTTCATGAACGAAAAACCAGCAAGTCAAACATCATCGGATCATTTTAACTTTGTTACTGAGCGTAAATGAGGGCTTAGTGTGGAAATGTAAGGCCTCACTCACTACTTTGTAAAGAAACTCTCATGACAAGCATTGCTGTGATGACACCATCGTGGCTTAACGGTCAGACACATGATCATGCAACATGCAAAACATCACAAATGGAGCAGTGAAAAAAACCCCAAAACACAACCCCCCACCGATAAGATAGGTTAAAGGAAACGGTTTTTAGAACGATGGTTTGCAGAAATTATGGTTTGGGCTAAGAGGACGGTGAGTGGATTGGCCAGGTATGGTAACTTGGCCGCACAGCGTGTGCATGTGTGTGTGTGTGCCTCGACAGATGCATCAAATGCAGACAGCGCGTAACGCTGCGGCCCTGCAGAAAGAAAGATGATCACCCTAGTGATTTGTGGGCTAACCAGACAAGATGCCATTGTTTAGGTACCAGACTGACACACATGGACAGCGGGGTGTGCTGCATCGTTCGCCGGAATATTTCGACAATAGAAGACCGTATCACAGACACCTGGATTAACGCATGTGCGCGTCGACCCACCTTTCGAAAACCAGTCGTATCATAAAGATGCAGAATGCTAAAGGACAAGCCAGATAGAGATCCTCGGCTTGCGGAAACGTTGCCTCATCTGTGTTTTTTAAGTCAGCCCAGGTTACATTGTGAGGGAGCCAGAATCTCTCATTCCAAAACCACGCCAGAATACCGGCCATCTCCCTGCAGCAGACACTGTGACCGGGTCGAAAGAGAAATGATGGCCCGCTGTATCTAGGAGGTCTCTCAGATGCGATCTGACGGCACAGGCTCTGCTGATGATGAGATATCCGTGTGCGATCGCCGTCCGTCCGTTTCCCCTCAGCTATTCCAGTGTAGGGAAGTAGACTCAATCAGCTCCTCTGCAACTGATTGGTGCGCTGACATGTCATGCAAAACAGTCAGCGCACATGCCGGGGCTATACCACGGCGTCATCAAGGTAAAGCACTGGGGTAACACTCAGCCTAACACAGTATAACTGATTCCCCTTTCATTAAATACAGAATGGCGTTTGCTTTATTTATTCTCCTGTTTTATAGGTGTGCTGCTTTTATTGTTGGAGAATCCTGTAGTAACCTGCCGACCTGGTGATGACTCACCTTCAGATACTGAAGATACAGATTTTTACTGTCAAACTCAAACTGATCTTTAATGACTTTTAGAAAGAAAAAAAAAGACAATAAACATTGACACAGTGGAGCATGCTCCACCATTTACCGCTGTGCTTGGTAAACTCTGCCACCTACTGACAGATTTCGTGTAGTAACCCTGATTCCAATAACAAAAAAGAAAAAAAGGTAAGGCCAAAAAGACAAAGACATACTTAAAGCAAATTCATTTTGGTGGTCAATCAGCCAAGGAAAAGATAGTGGACAGAAGTAAAGAAGAGAGTGCAAGCAAGGTGGAGTGGTTGGAAATGAGTATCACAATGAGAGCAGCAAAAGTGAAATGGGAGATTTACAGGATGGTAGTGAGACTTTCTTTGATGTATGGTTTGGAAATGGAGACCAACAGGAGCTGGAGATTTTGAAGATGCTAAGATTTTTTGTTGGGGGTGACCAACAAAAATTATCTATGAGTTAGAGACAAAGACAAAGAAGGAGGGATAGTGGGTAAAAAAATTAAAAAGAAAAATTACCATTACATATGTTAGAACAGCTTTGAATTGCTTTTGAGTGAGAAGTGGATCCACGCTGTCCCAGCAAAGTGTCTCCACAGCATGTAAGAGCCATCAGATTCTGTCTGGGGCCAGATCAGTCCAATAGGGCACCTTTGGGGTGTGGTGGAAGAGAAGATTCACATCATGGATGTGCAGCCAACAAATCTGCAGCAACTGTGTGACGCTATCGTAGTGGGTAGTGGACGCACACAGATCAATAAACAGTCTGATGGCGCCATCTGCTGGACAGTAGTATGATCGTCACCAGCCGTTCTGACTGCATGTGACATATTCTGGACATATTACTGAAGTTACACACACGCGACGTCATCCTCACGTCAGTATTTTAACACATTCATTGCTATTTTAACTCAAAACACAATTTCCTTAATATATGTAATGTAACCATTCTTCTAGCAGATGTTTTAAATTAGGTGTATAATAAACCATCTTAATCAGTCACTGTCTCGAGCGCGCGCGCACGCGATCCGTTATTTTCCGGGTTGTGCTCGCTCTGCGGTAGAGGCGGCTCTTCCTCTCCTGCAGCTGCCAGCTGACACTAACACTGAGGAGGTGAGGTCAAATTTGACTCTCTCTCTCTCTCTTCCTCTCTCGCTGCCCGTCAGTCTGAGAGAGAGGCTGCTAACAAGCGCAGCATCATCATCTTCATCATGGCGGATCAAGGCGACTGTACAGCTCCTGTCCACCACCCGCAACCACCGCTGACAGCCAGCTGGCCAATTACCCGGGAGTCCTACGAGCTGCAGGAAGTCATAGGTTAGTGTCCGGGGATGTACTGAACGCCGTGTAACTATCGTGGAAACCCAGCCCGCGGCGGGTTATCGGAGGTGAATGACGACGAGGGCCTACCGGCTTTTTCATATGCAGCAGCCTCCCGCAACGCTTTGCAATGCGGATGTTACCAGACACAGTCAGGGACTACCGGTTCACAGCTCACGAAGCGGAGTCGGGTAAAAAATCTGGGCCGCTTCACGCGCGTGAAACTGTCACGTTCAATAAGTGGCTCTCCGGCGGGCTCCGATCACCGAGCTTGACTCCAGCTGTGCTGATTTTATGGCACGTGTCCAGTTTATTAGCAGCTGCTTAAATCACAGATGCTGCGGATCTGTAAAGGCCACGTCGTGCCGTCTGTGGTGGCAAATAACTTATTATGTCCACATGACGAGCTAAATATACAGCTACTTAGTATTCATACAGCTAATAATAGCAGTAATGGCAATCATTAAAAACTATGGCAATAGAGGAATTGTTACTTTTAAAACAATAAAGCTTGCCCTAAAAAGTCACTCCGCCGCTGTGTTTTCTAATTATTATTTTGATTGTTTAAAGTTAACACGTGATCGCTTAAGTCCAAAAATTCAAGAAATCCAGTTTATACTCATATTAATTAGAGAAAAAAACTTTAACCTTTTTTACATTTATCGATTCAAATGATTAACACAACTTTTCTGTTGTGGACTAATGGTTTATTGATTAATTGAGACACATGACTCAGTTTGTAAGCATAGCTTATATGTAGCTGCAGTGTGAAGCATTGGTGTTATAATATTCCATGTTGTTGTTATCCTGCAGAAAAACCAGCAGGTATCTGCATTAACTTATTGTTAATATATCAGTTAGTGTTTATTTTACAAAGACATTTAAAACTTAAACCTAACTTATTTTATTGCATGAATCACCTAATGCTGAGTTATATCACCTGAGACATAATACTGCTAACCTTAAATGCATAGAAGAAAAGCAGAGGGAA